CCCCAGTTCGGAACAAGCAGACAAAACTTAATCTTTATGTACTGCACTGGACAGGAACTGACCAGCCATTCAGTAGACATACAACTCCAAACTATTCATGACAAAAATACCAACTGTTCTGCTGAGTCTTCGGCAAATGTTTGCCCCTTTTAAAAAAAATGGGTAATTTTTTTCCGTTTCCTTGGAGATATCTCTTAATCTATTAACTGAGAATTATAAGAAGGAAAAATTGTTCACATATGTTATTCAATCTTGCAGGACTCTGCTTGTATACCTTAACAATTTTGGGAATTCTTTTTCACATTAGACGATCTTGTCTGGATGTTTGGGTTACTCATTTTGATGGTATTCTTTGAGTTGGATTCTTAAAGGGAGAGACTCTGTGTGTGTGATTATTTTGTATTTGAGAAATTATGACAATGAATGCTTCTTATTTTTTGTATGAACTTGTTCCTAGAACTTGCTTGTTGAAGCAGCATGTTTTGGCTGACCAGCAATAACTTTTATGAGAGCAAGAAATACCAGGCTGGTAATATGCTTGAATAGCAACTGTTTTGTGCTGAAATTGAATTGCTCAAAAAAGAGGAGTTCTTCAAAATTCTCTGATTCAGAAATTTTTTTAATTCAGTATTTTCTTCTCTCCTCTAAGAGAATGGAAGTTCTTGCCCTGAAGTCTCTCCTATATAATTCGAAATAGAAATGTCGACCACATAGATAATTATAGCTGTTAAGTACATTATCTGAAAACTTGATATACATTATATTTGTTCATCTTAGTGTGTATCTAAATCAATCTGTAGTGCATTTACACATGGAGAATCTCAGGGAATCAGTTTCTCTGAACTTACTTTAAGAAAAAAAAAATCTGATTTTTTTTTTTTTTTTTTTTTTAAAACGTTTTTCTGCTGATCTGATTTCCCCATTTGGGGAGTTTGTTGATCAGGTTATTAAATCTGATTCCTTTCCTGTGTGTTCTGCTGATAAGGCAAAATTTAAGCCTGTTTACTTACCTGAATAGAAACTGGGACCTTGAGTCACCTAGTGTTTCTGCATCAGTGAACTTGACTCCAGCTTTTATGAAATACGGGTAGTTCCTGCAAGATTCTTGAAGTATGTTTTAAAACTGATTTTTTGTTTATGTAGACTATAAGCTTCAAAACAGTTTTCTTTCAGTCTTATCACAAGGTGTCACATTTGTTCTCTTACTGATAGTAGATATTTCTCTATTATCTTTATAACAAATGAAAGTAAGAAGAATCACTACCAAACGGGTTTTTCTTTTGCTTCTCCCATTTCTTGGTAGGGTGGAGGGGAGTGGTGGAATTGCTGCTTTTGTGTAGTTGAGCCAGAGAAACAATTTAGAACTCTCTTTCTAAAATTTGCGCCTGGATATTAATTCAGGATTGAATTAAGCACTTCAAATACTGGATTTCTTGAGGCAGCATTAGCATAAAGAATAGATACTTTACCAACATTTCTTTAGCCACATTTATGGTTCTTAAGTTATTCTTGTCATGAAACTTTGCACTTTCAGTGTCTTTACAATTAAATTTCTCTAATATGAAATCATCTAGTTATGTAGTAGGTAGGTACAATACGACTCTGAAAAACAGATGTTTAAATAGCAGTTTAGATAGTCAAACTTGAATTTTTCCAATATCCAGGTGGCCTCAGTTTCCTGTTGGTATTTATTTCATATTGGGTGGTCGTCCCTTAAAAATTCAAGTAGTGATAGTCTGTTTTAAACATTAGAATTTTGTAAGCCAAATTTCAATTTTTTTCTTCTGTGTGTATGCACACTTTTTAAATCTATAAGTTTGGGGTGGCATTGCTTTTATGAAACGTTCAGAGACCACTGAACAGAATTATGAAAATTCAAAGTTATGGTAGAGCTTTTGCATTAAAATAAGCATTATCATATGATCTCTAGTTCTGTTAGGAAACAAAAGTAAATGAAGGCATCGTAATAGCTGAAGAGAACAGAAGCCCGTAGTGATTCTTTCCATGTGAAGTAACTAGTTTACTTGCCTTCATGTGTACAGAATGTTTTGTTGAACTGCTTTCTTTCCTGTTTGTCATGGGCTTAATATTTTCCAGTCTGAGGAGTGAACCTACTAATGGGCTCCTGACCACTGGAGACAAAGAGGAAAAAAAAAAGCAGGGGAAAAAAGCAAGAGATTAATTTAAACCATTTGAAACTACTGGATTGTCGTTACTCGGGTTTTTTTTTTTTTTTTTTTTTTTTTTTTACCAATTTAGTCATTGTAAAAGCAGAATTCCACTCGGTTTGTGTTTCATAACTCAGGTTCTATAAACTCATTCTCTAGGCTATATGACATTTTCTTGTTTTTTAGCCATTCTACTGTAACACTTCTTCTTTTCTTTTTTTATTTTGTAATTGATTCGAAGTGGTTCTGATAGATTATAACTCAAGAATTATGTGTAAGGATTTTTATTCACTGTTCTGTAGTGTTTTATGGGTGTGGTGTTTGATTTGTGTGCAGAAAGTGCAAGGTCCTCAATAAATTTAGGCTATATCAAATACATATATAGTGCTGATAAATATTGTAGTTTACATGAGGATTTTAAACTTCAAAATTTTATGTGGAGTAGCTGTAATCCATGGTGTTTGCTAATCTTGTAAAATCTGAGGCTAAAAAATTAGTGAGTTTGTCCAGGAAAAAAACCTCAAAACCTCAAGTTTTCAACAGGTTTTTTCCTATAAAACTTAAAAGTGGTGGTGTGAAGCACTGGCAGCCAGGTGTGACTGAAAACCGTATGTTTAGAAACAAATTTTCAGTGTATTGTCTAAAGAGGTAGAAAGGAGGAGAGGATTCTACCGGAGCTCTGTCCTCAATCGCTGCATCCTACAAGATGAGCTGTGTTGTTCCCAGAGCGTCCGAACAACGTGCTTACTCTGGAAGGAGGGATGAGACCGTGATACACGCAGCTCTGTGGTGGGTGCCTGAGAGAAATTTCCATTCAGTCTCCCTTTCCCTGTTTAAAAAATTGGGTATTTGTTGCAAGGATTAAATTTTTTAAAATGGAAAAATAATCGAAGTTTGTAGACGAGTGTCAGATATCTTTCAAATTACGTGTGTGGAGAACAGCATGAAATGCTTTATAAATTTCTGTAAGCATGAAGGTTCTTACTGCTCTGCTGACAGACTGCTGGCATATACGGCTAGTAAAGCTGCTCTTGCAGAGGTTAGCTGTAACGTACCAGTACAAAGCAAAGCTTTGTTGGCATAGATAAAACAAAGTACTTTAATATATAGCATTTTGGTAGCGTTTTCCTAGTGTAGATGTTGCCTTAATCAACTTTTCACCTAAAAGCAGAATAAATGAAGTTAACCCAGTGCACATTTGCTGGTGTGCCTGGATTTTCATTTTGAGTGACATATTACAAGTGGCTATGTATTTTTTCATTCGTAATTGTGCTCATGTGGATGAGCAGGCCAGGCTTTAGAAGCTGGTGAGGGGTAGGTGGGTCTCATCAGTTTGTATACTTTCACGTGTATATTGGGAAGAGTTAGAGCGCTCTACAGCCTCATTGTATATAAAGAAATATATAAACTAAAATTTTGGAAGACACTTATGAATTTATTTTTTAAAAATGGAGTGTAGATTTGCACAGTCTATTGAACCTGTTTTCTGAGAATTTTATTTTTCTTATTTTTTTCTATTATTTCTTTCTGTTAGTCTTTCTAATAACAGAACAGTAGCCTGTTCAAATTTCTCGTTTTAAATGAACCACTGGCATCTTGCACAAGTATAAGGAAAAACAGGGTGACTGGTAGCTTTTTGTTCTTTCAGAATTAAATCCATTTCTCCACTTTGGTGATCA